GGGTCCTCCCGCAAGGCAGTGCAGAGCACTACCACTAAGCCACTGGGCTGGCCCGAATCGATTGTTTGAAGCTTTGTTTATTTATTTCCAAATCATATCTCTGCGGATTGGAGGCATTTCAGTCAGTTGCATTAAAGTTTGGGCTGTAACGGCTGCAGTCTAGGATTCAAAACCAGCAAAAGAAACTTTTCTGACTCTGGTTTAAAAAAGACGTATCTGTCTCGTTCTCTCTTCATGGGTGTTTGAAGCCCTCATTTGTTTTCCACTGCCCTTCATTGTGCTGGCGTAAACAAGACTTTCATCTTAAAATAAAAGTATGTATGGGACATGGCTGGCTTCTGGGGGAGCGGAAAATAGATCAATCTAGGACCGGTACTTTCCTAAACCAGTTGGAAATGACTAATAATTATTTGTTCTCTTCCTCAGCCCTTCCCCTCCATGAGAAAATTGACTGTTTGTGTACAAATTCAAAACGTTGATGTTGGTGGCTTTTATTTTTTTTCTTCAGAGTATGTTTTTGGACCTGGTTAATCCATGCTTGGCTTTTCATTCGATCTTGTACTCCTGCAGGTGAAGCTGCTAACCAGGTTGATAACATGTATGTACTATCACTTTGTTTACCTGAGTCTTTTTCATTCGAATAAAAATAGTTTGCAAAGTGTTTTGGATTAACCAGGTTTGAGTGTCCCATCAAGACTTGTGTTAGGATTTGATTTCAAGTAATTCTGGCTGTTGCTGATCCAGATTTTATCAAAGTCCTTGATACGTGCTTGTGTGTGGGTAAAGAATCCTTTTTATATTGTCCTGTGTATTGCAAGATGTGCCTGGTAGGGGATAAGAACAGTGATGCTGAAAGATATGGTTGAAAACTGAGACATAAGGAGCATGAATAGTAAACCTTGAGAAATATGTGACGCATTGGGAACAAGCTAAGTGGAGATGATATGATTCAGTCAGTGCCAGGTGCCTCCATATTAATTGTTTTGAAAATAAACAGTAAGCCTTAATTTCATACTGGAAGTCAACCTGGCTCGGGACTGTCTTTTGTGTAGCTGTGTAATAAAGTGGAACGGTTAATACGGAAAAAGCATCTTTTGCACAATAAAATCAGAAACCAGGATAGACATTTCCTTTAATAGCAAAAACTTCAAGAAAATTTGACAGCAACTTCTCAAGTGTCAAGATGACTCTGACATAAAATTTACAAAGAGCTATTTAAACAACCAGAACAGATAGCATTACATTTAATTAACACACATTTATGTCTCTGACCTGGGAGATAAATGCTGCCTCTCATGCTTGATACCTGTATTGGCTTGACTGCTTTACAGTACCTCCACCTCTCTACAACTGGATGTTGCAGTTGCAGAGAGGAGATTAATTCTAATAATCTTCCACATCTTGTTTGCTCAGTCTGGGACACTGAAGATCACCCATAGGTGTGCGTAGCCCCATCTGGGCTGCAAATGCACTAAATTGGAGCAGTGTTTTAAATGGCTGGGCACTCTGAATATCAACTAAGAAATGGGATCTGATCGTTGATATATGTGAAATTTTCTGATTAATGAAGCTCATACTCATTTTGCTTACTGCACTTTCCAGCAAGTCTAATTTGACCGACACACAAAGGAACAAAGTGATGGCTGCTGCAGTGCAGTAGGATCTGGATCCTGGATGAAGACATTCCCAATCTGTCAGGCTTCAGAGACACGGTGGTCCCCTATGACTGGTCCTTCCTGTGCCAAGGGGGGCGTCATAAATCCAGCACAGAAGTCTGGCCATGCAGATTATTATCTGTTAAAGGAGGCAGCAGGAGATGGAGAAGGCACTGAATTATGCAGCAGCACAAGTAAGCCATGTGGCTCAGCTCAGGTTAAGCAAAGCACAATGAAAGGCTTGGACAAAAATGGTGAAGAGTGGCCAGTCCTTCCCGAAGCCTGTGCAACTGTCTCCACAGGGAGTGTCCAACTCAGTTTCTATTGAATAATTCTGGGGAGTACTGTAATTAATCCTCATCCTGAGTGGGAAGCACCAACATCCAGTAATGACTTAAGGGAATTCCTCATGACCGGACATCCCAGCAGTGCGTGTTGCAGAGTTTTGCACCTTTATTAGAAGGAGCTGGGGCTGACCAAAACCAGAGTGCAGGTGCAGTTTTGTATCTGTGAGTGAAAGCTCACCTCCACTGAAGAGAGTAAAAAGTGAATGCTCCAGGGAGAATTCACCAGTACATAAGAGGTGACTATTTTTTTCCTTCTTCTACTCCTTGAAAAGCTGGGGCAAAACAGTGCTGTACCCCTGTGCCACGGAGTACAGGCTGAGCACACACATGCTGCTTTTACGATGCTTTTGCAGTACTGCTCTTGACTCTTCACAGGTCTTTCAGCAGACAGCAACCCAGGATGCAGAGCAGCAGGAAAATAATGTATGAACAGATCCATTCTTTCAGCACAATCATTGTGGACTGGTGGTGAAATTGTCCCCTCTGTAATGCTTAAGGGGTGAGCAGCATTGCTCATACACAAGTATTGCTGTTTGTCAGCATGACTATACACAGCTGCTGCTTTGCTGAGTTGAAATTTTCATGCCTGATATCTATGTTGGCTTGACTGCTGCAATTTGGGAAGCTTTCAGCAGAAATGCTTTGCTGATCCTCAGGATCTGCTGCTGTGGCTTCTGCAGAGTGAACAAGAGACCCCTGTTCTTAGGTGCCGCGCTGTGTTCTGGGCTGATGCCAGGTGAACTCCTTGAAGAAGGAATAGACGTGTTCAACCCCAGAACTGGCAGGAGCTCAGCTGCACTTCAGTGAACGCTGTGTTCCTGGCTTGCTCCCACAGTGCAGAACAGCAGCAGCAGCAGCATGGGCCAGCTCTGGCTTGAGCTCTGAGCCCGAGGAAAGTTCTTTCTTCTCCTCTGCCTGCCACCACGGGAGACAGATGGGGGTGAAGCTGGAGGATGGGATGGAAATGTGGAGCTGAGAGTCGGAAAGAAGATGGGAAATACACTGTTGGGGAAGGCAAAGAGCACAGCACTAGGAATCAGCAGCGATAAAACTGAGAAACCAAATGATGACCTTGGTTGTTGAAGATTAGGTGTAGATTAAAATTGATACTTAACCCCCAAGTGTGCTTGATACTGAAATGTGCTGGGGCCTGGGGCCTTACAGCTGCTCTTATTTCCCAGATTAGTGAGAGACTGGCCAAATCAAAGAATGCTGAAGTATCAGCACTAGCAAACACATCATGGAATGAAGACAACAGTTCCGATTTCTGAAAGTCAAGCTTCATCTTGTGTCGTAACATGCCTGAAATGACACAATGCCAACTTGGAGAAGGATTTTATTGCTGCACTAATTACAGTGAGTAGTGATACAGAAATCCCTGACATCAGACTTGTGACTGCAGCCTCTCTCCCTTTCTGTTTACCTAGCTGGAGACACCCAAGGTATTTTCCAGGCATGCCAAGTGTGCTCAGCTGTGAATGGGAAACAATGCTGCAAAATAAGCAGGAGATCTGAAGTGGAAAACAACCTCACCTCACTGGTATCTGTAAAACACTGCTACTACTATAGCAGCACTTAAGGGGAGCTACAGGATGTTTTCACACCAGGCTCCCAAGGACTGAGAAGCAACTCAAAAAAACAGTGAAGATATTGAAAAACTCACTTGTTTTCAAACAAACCAAGCACAAGGGAGTTCCAAAAGGCTCAAGAAGTAAAGGTAGATGGAGATAAAGCTCAGCAGTCATCAGAATCTGGCTTTTAATGCTTTAATGTATTGTTATAGTCAGGATTTACTTCACTGCAGTGATCTGTGGCTGCAGAAATAAGCTTGTGCATGAGGTTTTGAACTTGGGCTCTACCTTGGAACCTAAGTCAGATCTAGGTTCTTACTACTGCTGAAGTAGGAGCTGTCCCCATCTGCTGTCCAGAATATGCAGTGGCACAGTAACACCTTTAACTCTCTCAGTTTTTTATCTCCTGAATACACAAGTAACGCTAGTCCTCCAGGTCAAGTCCTTGGAATAGACAAGTACAGCAGTCACCTTCTGCTGGCAAGCTGTAACATCTTCAAAACAGCCACTGTCTCTTTAGTTGATGAAAACTTACTTCTGTGGGAAAAGGGTGTTAGGAGGCAGCACAGGAATGCATGTAAGTGTATGAACTCCCTTGGGCTTCTTGTTTTAGGATTAAGAATTGTCTTCTTTAGGAACCCTCAGCATAGACACATACCATCAGAAATGAAACAACTGCATTTAATATATGATCCTCACAGCACCAGTCACCCTAATGCATAGTCACTGACAAGTTCCCAGGTATCTGAGAGCCATTGTCACTGCATTAGGGAGCAACAGCTGTCCAGGATAAGCAGTTAGTGCCATTTTCCTTCTTTGGGGAGACAGAAGTCCTGCAAGCAAAATTCAGGTTTGCTAGGGCTGCCCTTGCACTCTGAACACGTGCCTGTTACTAGGTAAATGTATCGGGCTTTTCCACAGAGCGCTCAGCTCAGTTCAGTTACAGTAGCAACAATGGGTATTACAGCACTGGAAGCAGTGGAGCTTGAATGCATGGATGACTTCCCAAAGAGTGTGGGCTGAGTAAACACTGAGCAGTAAGTCTGTCCTCTTTAGTAAAACTATGCCACATTCAAAAGAAAACAAATCGGGTGCCAGAGCAGTTTCTATCAATACAAAGGAAACTAACTACACATTACTGTTTCCATTGGGCTGAGGTATACCATGTATGCAGTATGTAACATTTCTTTGCCCTTGGTCTTTTCACAAGAACAGTGTCTTCTCAAGTGAAGAAAAGCAGTAGCCAGACTGTTCACTTAATTTATTTTAAAGTACTAAACTAACATTAAATAAATAGCAGAGACCTAAACACAACAAACTTTTTGCTACTGTATTTGGCTTAAATACAAAGCATTAAAGATACAAAGTAGATGGAAGAAGAATAAAACTGCCAAAACCATCTGAGAGTGCATTACACAAACTTCTGCAGAGACAAAACCTTCCCCTCCCATCACGGTGGTGCCAATGCTTTTTCTGGTGTCAACACAGCTGAAGCATGGAGGACCTTCCCCTTGAAGTGTTTCTGCTAAAGTTCATTTTTTGCCATCCTCGCCTCGTACTCTCTTTCAGATCGTTTCCTTCGGTAAACATCATCTGCCAGAAAAAGATTTTATGTGAGTGTTTTCCATGTACATGATAGCACTAAATGTAGAAGCTGACATCTTTCTAAACTCTTCAGTCCAATTTTCTCTTGCAGACACTGACAGGCAACTGAAAATCAAGCCAACACAAATCTTTATTACCGCTTAAAAATAGCTCATGTTCTCCCTCCCATCCAGGCTAAAGTTCTTCCCATCAGTCCTGATTAAATGTTTTTATAGGAAACCATAAGATTCCAGTGTGATACAGCCACTGCTTGTCTACCTTCCCTTGGGCATAATTAAAAATACAAATGCCCAAGCTATCTGAAGTAAAATGGAAATTAAATTATAGGCACAAAGACAAGGCCTAAGGACAGCCAGCATGGCTTCAGTAGTTCAGCTTTTTATTTCATGCTTGCCAACAACGCATAGGGCTGTACCCACCTTCAGAGTCTTCCTGGTTGTTCTTCCTGCCCCCCTCCCCTCATACCTACATATCCATCACTGACAAAAGAGGTTATCGGTCTCGTCACCTGGCATGGATTATGGAGCAATAATAAGGCCAAACTGCACAATTATTACTGTTTAGGCAGAGCTTTTTTTGCCCCAGGAAACTAAGGCTTGACCTGAAACGTACGAGCTGCTATGCTACACAGATGTGCTTTAGTTTCTAACCTGACTTTATAGGTATGCATCAAATTTTACACTGGAAAACAGCAAACCCAGGCCTTCATAAAATGAAGCAAAGAAGCAATTCTGTCAGCACTGACTTTGTCAGCTATGGAAATTGCATGAAGCTGTTTCATTCTACAGGAGACTCAACTAGATTTCCTGTAAAAATGAGACTCTTCCCATGTGCAGTAAAGCTGATCCTTTTTCTGAGGTTCGCAAAGATTTCCACATTAGAACGCTGTAACTTCTAGGAACTAAGTGCCACTAGCAAAGTTCTCATGACTCATTTTCATACCTTTTAAATTGGGAAAGTCACGTTTCAGATGAACCCACTCCTACGCTTCAATTCTCACAGCCCTGGTGGGGCTTTTATGTAAAAACAAAATCTAGTTTAGGCTTTGAAACCCAGGTTTTTTGTTAGTTTCTGCCTAGCGTCTCCTAGTGAGGCAGCGCCTGGAGTGTCCCATCCGGCACTAGAGGAAGCGGTGTGTGCCCTGCTGCCCCAAGTCAGACCCGCTGTCCTTGCCGTTAAGTGACCGGCCTCCGCCGCTCCCCGGCGCTGTGGCCTGCTCCTGCCGCCCGGGCGGGGACCATTCTTGGCCCTCACTTACAGAAGGTCTCCTTGCCGATGCGGACGTTGATCATGAACCACTCCATCGCTCCCCCGAGGAGGAAGAAGAAGGGCAGGAACCTGTAAACGCCGAAGCGCTGCTTCCCGGGCACCAGCCGCAAGATGCGCTTCAGCCTACTGCTCATCAGCATGACGGGCCGGGATCGGCGCCGTCAGCTCCTGGCGGACAAAGAACAAAACAGAGGAGGAGGAGGAGGCGTGAGAGGCGAGGCGGGACGGGACGGGACGGGATGGAACGGAACGGGACGGGACGGGACGGGACGGGACGGGAAGGGACGGGACGGGACGGGACGCCAAACGGCCCCCGGTGCCTCGCCTCAAGCCGAGGCCGGGAGGGGGCCCACGCTCGTTCCCCGCGGCCATGGCTCCCCTCCCCTCTGCCTGCCCCGCCCCCTCGGGAGCGCGCAGCCAATCAGCGCAGCTCCCGCCGCGAGACCCTCACCTTCCGAGCGGGCCCGCAGACCCCGGCCGCGGCGGAACGGAAGGACGTGTGGGCAGCCACGTGACCCGGCGCGGGGCGGTTCGCCTCTCCTGATTGGGAGGGGCGGGGCTTCAGCGAGGGACCACCGCCCCGCCCCGCGCCCCGCCCCTCGCCTCAGGGGCCGGAGCGCGGCGAGCGGAGCCGGTCCGGGCTCCCCCCCCGCCGCTCGCCCCTCGCCCGCCTCTCGCCGCGGGCAGCCGCTGATCGCCTCCCCCCCTTCCCGTTCTCGGAGGCGTGGAGCTGCCCGGCCCCCTCGCACCGGGCGGCGGGGATTGGCCGCCCGGCGGGAGCCGCTGCGGGCTGTGGCCGTGGCGGCGCGGAGCGGAGCCAGCCTCGGCCGTGTGCGGGCTGCCCCGAGGCTTCAGCGTCCGGCGTGACCATGGCCGCGCTGGGCATGGCGGCACTGAGGAGGGGCAGCGGCTCTGCCCCCCGGCTCCTCGCCGTGGCCGTCTCCTGCCAGAGCTGCCGCCCCAAAACCAGCCAGTGCCCCGGTGACGGCAGCCACGGGCAGCCCCGGGATCACCACCCGGCGGGCCCCGGCAGAGCCCGGCGCGGCGCGGAGCCCGGCCCCGCCGTGGGCAGCCAGCCCGTCCTTCGCCTTTCTCCTGTCTTCCCCCCCCCCGTTCGCATCCTGGTGCCTTTCCCCGCGCTGCAGACCTGGGGATGTGAGGGTTGCTGTGCAGCTGCCGGGGTCAGCAGCCTTCTTCTCCCTGGCAATGCCATCCATCTACACGCCTTCTTCACCCGGGGCCCCTCGGGAATGGTTTGGTTTCTTCTCAAATCTGGCCTCAATCTTCCTTTCCCCACCTTGGGTTTCCCTCTGTAAAGATCACTCGGCTGGTCTCGGTGTTTCAGGACATGCAGAGTACTTGGGGCTCTTCACAGCTCCCCACCTTAACAAGGGTATAGCCACGGCAAATGGTCTAAATGAAGGGCTTGTGGCATTTTCCTCAAACGTGCCATTGGCTGGCATAGAGAGATGTGATTACACTAGGATGAACAGGCAGGGATGGTGACCGAAGTGCTGAGAAGTCCAGGGTCTGACTTGTAACTCGCCATTGGCACAAGGATGAGCATGGAGGAGATCGATGCTACAGCTGCTAGGGTGTCTCCTGATCCTGAGCTCAGTTTGCGTTACAGATGCAAAACACCTTTTACTCATATGTGCACGTGTGTTTTTGCTTCTCTGGCCAAGAAGTTACTCTGTTCCATCAGATACGTTGAAATCTTGCCAAGGGAGGAGAAAACTCGTGGCAGTGGCCAAATCTGGCCATGTGTAAAACAGGACTGTGGTCTTTTGGGCAGCCGCAGACCTCTGCTGTGTTAAGTGCTTCTAAAAATGTGAAAAAATTGGTCTCATGGCATGAGGGCAGGGAATTTTTCCTGCTGGTTTCTTGATTCTTGGAATGCTGAAGGTGAGCACTGTAGAGCTAGGAAGTGTGGCTTTGTCTGCTGTTAAATAGCTCTCCCTTAGCTTTGTTTATCTAAAGGTTTGGAAAAGGAGGGCAGCCAGGCTTAGCCATCTAGAAGAACCGTCTTGCTGTTCTGAGATTGACAAGTTGTGCCATTCCCTCCTTCCCCATTTCCCAGTACATGAGATCTGACATAAAATGATGCACAAATGTAAAGGAATTGGCTGCTGATCTGCTGGGGCTCGTTCCGTCTTTTGCAGGGTGCAAGCTCCTTTGCCTGAGCCGCTAAGGCAGTACAGAGTGCTGACAGAGGACAGTGGCTTTGTGTTGAGTCCCTGCTCCAAGACTGAGTTTTAGCCTCACTGCTTGAGAGAAATTCCAACTTGCAAGACTTGTAATGGTGTTTGGACCTTAATGTCCTCAAAGGCTATTTATTTCTTTTCCATAATGGTATTGAAACAGTAAATGCAGATGTGTTCATAGGCTGTTATTGGCTCTTGAGAAAAACCTCAGTTTACTATGTGACAGATTATGAAGTTTGTATTCATGTAGTTATGCTTTGTAGAGAAGCAAGAAGTACAGTTTTTGCTTGAGGTGGAGAACTAACCAGCAGGAGTAAAGGCCAAATGAAGTTGGGCGAAGTAACCCATGTGTTATAGAGCAGACTCTTTACAAACCTTCAAGTAGCTATTGGACATGATCAATGAGGTGGCCCTCAGCTGTTTAAAGAATAGCTCTCCAAACCAAAATTTCAAGACTGTGCTGTTATTCAAGTCTTGTCAAGAAGAGACATAAACAGAGTTGGTCCAAGTTGGTTTTAGTTGTTGCTTTGATGACTGAATTGCTATGTGCAAAATGTTCATCAGTTCTCTTCCTCTTAATTTCTAATGCTGATGGAAAGGTGAATGTCTGTGGTGGGTTGTGGATTTGAAATCATCACATCTCAATACTATCAGCATGTAGTTTGAGACTTCTGGGCTACCACCTTCTTCCTTCCTTCTCTGAAACTCCTCCTCTGAGGTCCTTTCTCCCATGTTGTCAGTTAACAGCTACTGGTTTTGGAGAAAGGTCTCTGCCAGCAGAATTTATTTTTCAAACCTGCTCTTCCTTAGGACCTGATTTATAGAGCAGTGTTGCATTTTTGCACCCACAGGATTCTACTGATAAATGCTGACCAGGTTGGATGGGGCAGGATGTGTAGGACAAGAGCTTCTGTGCAGTAAAGTTCAGTGGTTGTAGTTGAGCACCAGAAGTTCTCAGCTTTGTAGAAACACATCTGTGTTCTGCCAGGCTTGAGTGGTGATACAAATGACCGCACAACATAGCTACGCAGAAGGGGCTCCTGAGGTGAAATCTGCTCAGTGCTGGCGCAACAGAAGCCATTTTCTTAGTTTTTTCCTCTACCTTTTGCAGCTGATATTTGGGACCAAATTTCATTACCTGCCAAGAACTTGAGGCTACTTCTTACGCTTAATGTGCTTTGCTTTTAATGCAATTAATGTAATTGCATTTTTCGGGAGGTAGTGTTGAGCAAGACTTGTATTCTGATTTGATGGCATCTGAAGTGTCAAGGAAGGCTGATATGCTTTCTAAGTAAGCAATGTATGAAGTCTTCTCTTTAGGAAACATTCGATCCTGAAACCCTATGGAATTGGCACGCGAGTGAGGATTTAGCTGTGAACAAGTGTGTATGTTTTTAACTGTATCTTTCAAAGTTGTAAATGTTCTTACAATAGATTTGCTCTCCTAAGGAACCTTTGTAACAAATGTTAACTTCTTGCCTCTGCATGACAAGCTTGAGGTGCTTAAATGTGAGAACTACTGAGAGTAGAGACAAGTCTGCCGACAGCAAGAACTTGGTTAGGTATTGGTAATGCTGAGGGTGTAGCTCAGAGGCAGTCCTTGCTCTTTCTAGTTTGTGTGGATTGAGATACCTTTGCATCTAAATGGTGCAATCCACAGTCAGCAACATGTGCCCATCGCATTTGGAAATGGGAGAGAAGGCGACACCCCTGCATGGTCAGTGCATTGGTGATTTCTGGTGTGGTGCAGAGGGAGTTTCTGCAGTCCAGCACATTTTGATTCTGCTTGTGTCACTAATCTCAAGCAGACACGAAGATTTAAAAGCCTCACTCTTTTCCAAACCAGGAAACAAGTCTAGTGCTATGATGATAAATGCCCTGCAAATCGCTTAGGGAGCTTGCACATTGAATGAGTTGTGGCATCCTCAGACTGAGCTGGGACTGGGAATGACAATGAGCAAGTGTGACCAGCTATGTTAACTTCCTAATTCTGCTTTCCTAAATGTAAACATTTTTTCTTGTAAAGAACTCTTACAGCAGCATTTGTTTAGTGCCTTTGTGTATATAAAAAATGTGGTTTTTTTTTTTTAATGAAACAGTTTTTTTTTTAATGTTGCTTTTTGTTTGTGTATATTTTATTGGCAAGAAATCCCAGAATATTTAGGCACAATGGCTTAAATTCAAGACTACGCTCCAGAGTAATTTTCAGCACTCTTTTTAACATGATTCCTCTATCATTTAATGTTCTTTAAGTAATATTTCCTTTTCCCTCCTCTTGGTAGAAGCATCTACTTCATCTAGTTGGAGTGTTTTGCAGGAAATGGTACAAGACAACACTTCAAAAGGATAAAGAGGTGCTTGGAAGGGAGGGAAACTGGCGGTTTGCCTTTAGAAGGAAAGTCGGTGTGAGCAAAGGGAACTTTCTGATTCATGAAGAACGTGGAGGATGGTGGCCATCTGCTTTTCAGTGTCGTTCTTTTCCTCACTAGTCTTGCAAAGCAAACAGCGCAGATGTCTGCTGCATTGGACCTCTGGGAGTACAAAGGGTGTGAGAGATGGGTGTGAGTTGCCTTTTTTGTGTATTCTTCTTCAATAACATGCTGGATCTGAGGCTGAGAGAAAAGGAACGCTTCCTGCGTGATGCTGTTGGTACCCCAGGGAGCTCAAAAAAGCACAGACGTGCTTGGCACCACCTGACCAGAGCGTTTTTCACATCAGAAGGGGCCATATGGTGTCTCAGCATCCCTAACTGTTGCACACAGTTAATTACCTGCTTTTGTTTCTGTCTCTGCTCTCTTGTTGGGGATTGAGTGTTAGTGCTTTCTAACAATGTGGGCTATTGCCTGGGAAGAGACACTTGTGCTGTTATGAAGATATTCCAATTTAACCAGCTGTTCAGGGCCTCATAATGGTAAAGTGAAGGAGGTATTATGTGTTTACCTCGCATTTACACCCACGTGTAAAAAAAAGCATGAGCTTTCTTGTGCTCTGCCTTTGTTGGCTGAGTTTCAACATGTACCATGGATATGCAGACACTTCCCTTAAAACCATCAGAGTAGCAAACCAGAGCAAACTGTGCAAGTATGCAGATTCCAGGGGTTTGTATGTATTGCGAGAGCTGTTTTTTCCCCACTGTCCTCCGATGAACACATGTCGGTTCTTCCTTAGATCACACTTCCTTGGTGAAGTGCTGAGTAGACAGTGACTATCTGTGGTACTGTCTTCATTTCCAGCTAGGACTCGAATGGAAAGGGTAGATGGGATTATCATTCTTTTTTAATAACCAAAAGTGGTTTTAATTTTGTTTGGGTTTTTTCTTGCTGTAATTTATCAAATCTGTCCAGCAATCTGTTACGCGGTGTCTTAGCAGAGGAAAAGCAAAAGTTATCATGCTTGGAAAATGGCATCTTCATAGGCTTCTGGAGGGTGTCTGTTTTGACTTGACAATTGCCATGCAAACCGAGGCAGAGATCCCTGGCAGGTTACGTGCTGAGTGTCAGCAGAGCAGCAGCACCCAAGTCTGCAGCCCAGGACTTGCTTAAGCGCTCACAGTTTATAACCACCAGGTGATTAAGCAAAACAAAAAACAAAACAGAATCCCAACTGGGATTATTTTAACAAAAACCTCAAAACGCAGACAAGAAACAACACAAAACCCTCAACAAAAACAGCCAACCAACCAAAATCCACCAAAACTAAAAAGCCAACCAAACTAACAAAAATCCAAACTTCTTGAAACCTGGCTCAGTAAACTGGGCATATTTGGGCTCTCATATTGAAACTGATCTTGCATGTGCTCCCACCTTTTGTCCCTTCCCTGAGGTAGTTTGAACCTGCAGAGAGCCTGCATGAACTTAAAAAGGAGGGACTCCTACCACTGTATTGAGGAGGATGTTGCAAGTGGATGTTTACACTGAGTCAAACAGCAGCGTGGGTCTCTGGACTGAAACCCAGAGCTTTCTCTTTCTTTCTAGGATTTCAGTGACTTTGAAACTACTGTAAATGTACGGTGGAGGATGACAGCGTGGAAAGAGCCAGCTGTCAGCAAGCTGCTGCAAGTTGGTTTGGGGACAGTGATGTGTGATAGAAAACGCAGCAAGGAGACAGATGTGCGCTGCTCCAGGAGGTGTGGAACACTTGTGAGGCAATGGTGAGAAAGCATTTTGGCTAGTGTATGCATCTTTTCTCAGCCCTTATGTGGGAAAGAGAGAACATGCTGTGAGAGTTAGTGGCAAATTATCTGAGTGGGGTAAAATGATCTGGGCAGGAGGCTGTCAGAGAACAGCAGAGAGACTCTGCATTTGAGGCTGGCAGGGAGCAGTACTACTTCATCCCATGGGTCTAAGTATACTTTATAAATCATATTGTGGCACAGTTACTGCTTGTGCTTCTGATCACAGATAAGACTCACTTCATGTTCTTGGTGAATCTCAGACTACCCATTTGTTTTAACAACATCGTGATGCTCACTGTGCTTTTCCTGAGTTTGTTTCTGCAAAAGTTGTGTCTGTTGTTGGATCTAGATGGGTGTCATGTCCTCTGTGAAAGAAGAGATGGGGTTCAGACAGTGGTATTTTGTCATCAAAATGTGCTGTCATAAATCTGTTAGCAAATGATGAGTATTGGAAGAGCTTAACCTCTCTGTAGGGATACGGTGGCAGCAAGTGGGTTGCGTTTGTTGTATTAATAAAAGCTTTCATAGGAAGATGAAAGTGCTGCACATGTGCACTGTGATGTAATTAGGGCCGTGTCATTTTCCTTCTGAGAAAGAAAAATAGCACCCTGCAAATGCCAGTGTATGCTTGGAAAAAAATCTTCCCACAAGTTATGTGGAGGTGAGGACAGGAAGTGGAGCTCTGTTTGTTTATGATGCAAAGACTGTTTATGATGGAAGGATGAAAGTTGTGATCATCCAAATCCTATTTATGGTTTCCATCTTTCAAAATCCCAGTGGAAAGTTCTCTGATCGCGTCTGCTCTCTTCAACCTCTTCTAGGAACTTTGCCACCAGCAGTCACTGAAAGGGAGCTCTTGTTCCTGTTGCGTAGGCAGTAAGTCAACCCTTCTGCCTTAAAATACTGCTTGCTTTTCTAGTAGTTCCTCTCTAGTTGATCTGGTGAACTGCATTTGAAGGCCAAAGGAAAGAGGGTGAGGAGAGAGGGATGGGTATGTTTTGTAATGTGTCTCTCCCCTGAAAAATAAATATTATGGTATATCTGAATCGTGTTTCTTTGATCACCTCTTTGGATTAGCGCTCACAAATGTACTTTGGGCTTTTACCTAAATTCTGTAATCATTCCAGACAAAGTCTTTATTGGGAATGGCTGGTATCTCTTTCTAATAATACTTTTTTTATTCTAGATTCAGATGAAACTTGGTTTTATAGCAAGGAAGCACTAAAGAACTGGCACAGGGGTTCTTGCTAAAAGCCAGAAGTGAAGGTAGGAAGGGAAAAGAAAATCCTGCTCACTGATGCTGTGTAGGATCTGGAAAATGTCTGCACTCTTCCTATCATTCAAAGAGACAATTACCTGTCTTTGAGGAGGGAGGAAATGGCTCCTTCCCCTCTCTGTCCCCCACTGTGGATGTGACTGGGCAACCTATTATGGGGAACTATTTTTATTGCTCTTTCTCATCTTGCAAAGGACAGTTCTCTGGAGTGGGAAGCCTGGCGAGGGTCTGTTCCTGTCTCTCCCATTGTAGTGCCACTGAAGCTCTCTGCTCTCTAGACTAGCTCTGACAAAAAAAGGTACAGGTAGTTCAGCTGGAAGGTCACTTAACCCCTATTTTCCCAGTGGTGCGGGGAGCAAAGTGTTATTCACAAGCATCTTGAGCAGTAAGCCTGTTTAGAAGTGACAAAACACATGCAAGGACTGAGCTGTTTCCACAGCTGTTTATCAGAGGAAAGCAGGTAACTTGTTGCTATCAGCATTGCATGCTCCAAGAGCGTAGTTTAGTGTGGAGTTTTTTACATTTTGTTGGTGCCTGTACAAAACCTTGTTTTATCCTGCCAATTTACAATGAAAAAGACCCAGCCCACAAACCACCGCCACCAAGGCCCTAACAGCACCCGCAGGATTGCTCTGTGAAGTCCGGCTGCTTCTGTGAGAAACCTAAAATGCCAAAAGAGAAACCTCACCATTTCTAATTTGAGGTAGTCCAGGTTCCTCAGAGGAGCCTGTTTGTCTTGCTCAAGTTTTAAGTGAGGGGTGCATGTTTTCCTGGTGATACACTGCAGCTGCCTTCCATGCTGGTGGGCTGCAGGGAGCTAGAAATTTGAGACTTGAAAATCTCGGTCTGCTTTGCTTCATGTAGGCCAGAGAGGACATTGTTTTGCAGCTTCCTGACACAAAAGGTCAGTCTTACTGTGAAAGATTCATCCCCAGTCCCAGCCAGGGGTTTCACAGTGAGTTTTTTCACAGGGAGGATTATTTGAGTGAGTTTATGGCAGCAGCACTGTGCTCCTTTGATGCTGCTATGTGGTACTTCCAGCTCAGGTCCACAATGAAAAGTTGACATTTCAGTGTTCCTCACAGTTTCTCTAACCTCTCCCCTTTCCCTTCTCTTAGATCTCCTTCCACCAGGAGTCTGCAATCTCCTCAACCCGGCAGCTATCTACGCAAACAATGAGATCAGCCTGGGAGATGTTGAGATATATGGCTTTGACTATGACTACACATTAGCACAGTACTCCAATTTACTACACTCTATGATATTCAATACTGCCAGAGACATCCTAATAGAACAATTCAAGGTAATGATGTGCTAAGAATTTCCACTCTATTAAGCTTATTGCTACACTCCAGACGTGCTTGCAAAATGCTGCATTGTGCACATGTGCCAATTACTTGTTTTATTGAGATAAATTTCATGTTTCACAATCTTTGATTGCAGAAAGTTTTGCCTGTCCGTGGAATTAATTTCCTTTGAGACAATTAACCATGCTCTACATTCCTGAGGTTTTATAAATATGGAGCAGGAACCTTAGACTAGAAAGATCTCATCTGTTTTACTTAACTATGGCAATAATGCCTACAAAATTGCTGGTTCGAGGTACACACAGTGGATAAACATGAATTGTGGAGCAGCATTGAAGCTGTACAGGACTTGACCTCTGCAAGTCAATGTGAATGATGCTGCATAGCTTGTCCAGTAATGGGCATCTTGTTTGCAATAGGTCTGTGCATGTTCTTCTCACCATGTCTTTCATTTCAGAGGGGCTCTGCTTTGCCAAATATATGCATTGAATGGAGCTTACTGGAAGTGTCCTCAGTTGCCTGAGTGAAGCTGTTACACTTTCAGTAGTGTCCCTTACATGAGAGGAACTAGTTTTGGGGATCCTTTTACTTATGCCTTTCTCTAGTCATCCACTTTCTTTGTTGAAGGGGCAAAACGATGTGCACCTGTTCCTTGTCCAGTTTATGCATGGGGTGAGTGGACTAGTTGGACTAAGCAGGCTCAACAGGTGAAATGATTTGTTGATAATCAAATGCTTATGCCTCTAACTACGTTGCTCTTTGTCTTCTCAGTATCCAGAAGGGCTTGCAAAGTATGACTACATTCCAGGGTTTGCCATACGTGGACTTCACTATGATGTACAAAAGGTAAGCTATACAAAGTTCAATCTCCTGGGCTTTGTCTTCCATTGGGTTCTATTTTTAGTGGAATATTTTCTGCCATGCTTGCAGTAACATTGATCAGTGAGTCCAGGTGTCTGTGCTTTTCATTTTGTGGGTTCTTCTTGCTTATAAACCTTCCAAGGGAGAGATGTCTTCTATGTTTGCATAGTCTCTAGCAGAATGGGACATTCTAGCAAAGACCTCTGGTAAACAAGCTTTGCCAGTTTAAAAGTCAATTAATTCCGCAGCTAATATATAGAAAACTGAGCTTGTTTATGTGATCGCTTCTGTCTTTCGGGAAATTTAAGCAACAAACCTCAATTCTGCAACTACAAATATTTGCCAGGAGCAGTGGCATTATGTCTTACTCCAAGAATAGAAATGACTTGTCAGGAGAATGCTGTAGGAAGCCTTCCCCACCCCCTACCCTGAATAATAGGACTGCCTGGAAAAAGATCCAAGCTGCTTGAGATGCATGCTTCTTAGGAGCACAGGCAAAGGGCAAGCACTAGCTTTAACCCTTTTCAGTGCTTTGGACAGATTCCCTGAAAGCCTGATGCCCACTGATGTCATGGTGGCTGCTGCAGCCAGGAGTCAGGTGGGAGCCCAGCAGAGAAAGTTGCTTCACTTTAGCAGCTTTTCTCCCATTGGGCTTTGAGCAAACCCAGGGAAGGAGGCAGCAGTACAGGCTGGAGTGTGTGTGTGCTGTTCTCCAGCAGCGGAAAAAAAGAGAACGAAGAAAAAACTATATAGAGTTTCCCATGTCTTTTGTCCTAACTCTGGTGGCAGCATGGCAGCAGACCACCCATACCTCTGACCTCATAAAGTGAGAAGTGGATCTGTGAGGGACTCTGAGAAGTTTCTTTCTCTGTTTAAATCTCTGGCTGATACATTGGCAAAACACAGACTAGCCAAGCCAAGCAGAGCTAGCGAGTGAGCAGAAGGTGAGAACTCTCTTTTCTTAGATCAGATTCTGCAAAAGACACAAAAAGCTGGGTAAGTTAGTCAGCATGTTTGCCTGTGTGCCTCACAGACTAGTGGGAGGTTTGCCCCACTAGCTGTGTAACCAGCTACAATGATATAGTATCATAACAAAAGAATGTGCCTGAAGGTTGTGAATGCTCTGTGGAATCTATTACCTTGCACTGTGGTAGAGACAGCACAAATAGTTTGATGCTGTGTCCTTTTCAAGTTGGAGAGCGTTGTGAATTTAGTAAGAGGCTGCTTTTGATGCCTGAGCACTTGTGTTAGCGCTTCACAGTGATGGGTGGTGGAGAAGAGATGACTCGTGAATATGTGAGTCTGATACAAAAAATGTGCAGAAAGCTCCTGCCATGCTCCTGAACATCTTTGAGCCTCTTTGCTGAATTCTGTTGGGGACAGGGAGAAATGGTGGAAGGGAGAGCTCTTGTGTGAAGAAAATGACTTGGTGCAGCTGAGCCCTAAACCAGAATTTGCCCATTTCGTTCTGCTTATGATAAACGTGACAAGAAATAGATCTGTTGTGCACACAAAGTTTCTTTGCACTGTGTGTGCTTTTGGAAGAAAGATAAGATGCGACTGAGTCAAAGAAACATTGTTCTCTCTGTTTTTCAACTGCATCCCTATCCACAAACTTTGGAGTGTAACAGAGAGTGGTATTTTGGCTCATAGAAGGTGGTATTTTGCCAGAGAGGCCAGTTATAAGTCACAGTATGAGTAAGTGTGTGTGAAAGTGGCTGGAGGCTAAGTGCAGCTTAAAGTACATAAATGTGGAATGCTCGTATTGAATTGTATTTTCTAAATGTAATTTGTGTGGAAATTGAAACATAAATAAGCTTTTAGTATAAACTTACTTCTAACAGTAAATGTCTCTCCCTTATCACAGAGTCTCCTCATGAAGATCGATGCTTTCCATTATGTCCAGCTGGGGACAGCATATAGGTCTGTCCATTCTGAAAATCATTTTCTAAATGCTCATATATGCAAAGGGGGATTACTAAATCTGAGTGTATGTTCATGGCATATGGGGTGAGGTTTTTTGAGGAGAGCACCCTCTCATCTGGCTTATCCTGTTTGTGCTTGCTTCAAATGCTTACCTGGCATATAATTGCAGGGAGTTATTTTTCTCAAGCATTTCAAGCCAAGTGTGGGTGGGAAGACCTGGAGCTTTTTGTAATGGTTAATAACACATCTGGTCACGTACTCTGCGTGATGCCTGAGTACCTGACAGCACACCTGGGTTAATGTCTGTGAGCAAACAGCGTGACAAGGAAGGGACTCCTCTGTAGGTGGTCCACATACAGGCCTGTCTTCTCCAGGCAGGGATGTATCCCAGCAAAGGTCTACTGTTCCTTCTCGTAAAGCTAAAAGGGGAGCGATCCAAATAATGCAAGTAGAATCTTAAAGCAGTGCGGACTTGTCAACAGAAGTAACGATGCATCAGAATCTGGGCTCAGTTTGGGGCCTAGGTTTTAACTCCTGTTGTCCTCCAAGGAAAGCTGCATGTGTGTTTGATTAAGTGGCTGAAACAATGCAGAGACTGGAGACTGGGAGAAAACCTTACCCCCAAGTGGAGTGGGGTTAGTGTGTAAGAAGTAGGAATTCATAGATATTAGTAGCAAAGCTTCTGTAAATCTGTGTTGTATTTCCTGAGCATGGAAGCCAATGTTTTTTTCTTGAGCTCTGCCCTTTTGCTGTTAAGCTCCAGTTACAGTAAACACACCAAGAATATTAAGAAGGGAGTTTCATAATCAAAGAGAATTGGCTTCTTTGAGTGCTAGCTTTTGAAGGGGGGAGAGAGGGGCCCCATATTTCAATTCAGCTTTGCAAGAGATTGTTAGTGAAAACTTGTTTAAACCTTTTTTCCCATAGTGTCATTTTGTGATTATCCTTCCTGAAGTGTCCTTTTCCCAAACTGCCCTTTGCTTTTGAGCACAATTGAGGCAACTTTTAGCTTCTCAGAGGTCTGTACCATGATTGAATAGGAAAGGAGCAAGGGAAAGTTGCTGACTGCTTGGGTAAACAGCCATCAAAAATTGCGCAAGAGGCAAAACGTGCAGCAGTCAGATAACCTGATGTTCACAAGTGATAGAGCTCACAGCCATAGCTGTGCTTGATCATATCTGTGCTTGATGATACCTGTGACTACCGTGTTTCAGAGGGGAAAAATGTGACCTCTGTTGAGTGGTTTGAGAACTTGTTTTGCTTAGGAAAACTGAATAGGAAGGAAACTTCATTTTTAGAAATCTCTCTTCCACTTCTTTTAATGGTGATGTACCTTGTGGAAGCAAGCTCCGAAACTGCAGTTACCCAGCAGAGCCAAAGTCAGGTCGTGGGGCTGATTTGGTGGGGCAGTCCTGTCAGCAGATTGACAGCATGCAGAGAGAAGCCTGCCTGAGATCTCTGCATGCAGACAGATTCTTCTCTCTCAGAAGAATCTGAACTTTGCTGGAATGTGGATAAAGCCCCTCAATTAACTTGAAGAAGCAAACAAGGTGTCTGAAGAATGTCTCAGGAGAGATTTTATGTGAATCTTAAGAAGCCATGGAGCTGTCAGGCTCTCTGGCTGTCTTTGTTGTGCAAGATAAATGTGTGAGTTCTAGAAAGGAGCCTGTTTGTCCCGTTTTCTCTTTCTCTGCAGTTTGTAGCTCTGTGCAGACTGGTGATTATTGACAAACTATTTCTGTTGCTTTGTGTCTAGGGGACTCAAACCAGTGCCTGATGAAGAGGTAATCGATCTCTATGGTGGTACGCAGCACATCCCCCTGTACCAGATGAGCGACTTCTATGGCAAGGTATTGTAAGCCCTTTACTGCTATGATGCAGCAGCTCTTCTAAGAGCTATGAAAACAAAGTGAATTGTGTGAGCATGTAAATGACTCCAGCCTCTCTCTGACTCTGAAAGGGTTAGTCCCTAGTGACCTGCAGTGTGTGTTTTTGTTCTAGTGGGAATTTGCCCCAGAGGTTATTTAGCAGTTTAGCATGTGAAAGACATCTGTGAATAATTCCTAAACACCAGGGCTATTGGCCTAGAGCTGAAAGCCTCTGGAGACTGATGGCTCTGGAGAATGATAGGGAGATGTTCCCTGCTTTTGGTCCTTGGCCAAATCTAGCTTCCAAGCTACCAGGCCAGCCTGCAGTGATGCTGTTTGCAGTGAGTTGTGCAGGAGGGGGCATATGTGTGTGTAGCAGCAGGGTGCTTGCAGTGCCTTTCTCTTTGGTTTTGGGTATGGTTCTTTTTCCTCCATTAAAGGGATCCCCTTCCACACCTCAGTGGCTATTATTCATAAGGTTGGCATCCATGAGTGTGGGTTTTGGGCTTTTTTTTTTTTAGGCAGAAACGCTTACTGTCACACTAAAGTATTGACATTGTGCCCTTAGGAGCTATAGAAATCCTTCAGTTGCCTGAACTAGAGGAAGTTAGGAGAGATTTTTCTTCCTCAAGTGTCTAGTGTGGTGCAGTGGGCAAGCAGAGCCTCACATCCCTTTCCCCCTCAGAACAGCTTTGTTTCTTGCCCTTTGTTAGTTCAGTTGCCTTAGGGGAAGCTGGACTGTGAAGGGCAAGCTTCCTCTGGCAATACCCCTTTGAGTCTGCTGTGTGAAGTCTCCAGCAAGGTCACTTTTTGATTCCTCTCTCTCTCTTGGGAACAATTAATCTGGGTGGTTGCTTTCTGGATAAGTGTATACTCTGTTTATAGCTCAGTGTTGTTTCCAGCTTTGAAATAGGATGTTTCTGTTTAGCATTTGTTATCTGTCTGTAAACTGCGCTCCATTCAACTCCCACTCTGCAGCTCTCCTCACTCCTGAAAACATGAGTGATTTCACCTTTCTTTTTGAACAATTGTAGGCATGAAATCTGCTTTGAGCTGTGGCCTTTCGTGGGCCTTGGCTCATGCCAAGGTGTCTTTCTGTGCTGCTTTGTACATACCAGGTGTTTTCTTCTTTGCTGTAGTTAGTATTGAAAAATACAGTATAACATTTGGCCACAGAAGTAGAGATAGCAACTTATTCTTTCTAAAGAGGTGAAACTCCTCTCCTAATGATGTAATGAACTCCATAAACAAATAGATGGATTCCAGGAAGAATGAAAGTATATACAACTAATGCCATTTGCACCCAGCAGTGCTCAGCCTGTGCACTAACACATTAGTGGGAAGGCAGCTGGGTTAACTGCAGTGCAATTGGTGTGGAGTGAGGCCTTAGCAGGGATCTTTGGTCTTGTCCTCCTTAGTCTGCCATGCTGATACCACTACCTGTGTGGCTAACAGGAAGGGCTGCCAGTCAGTGATTCCAGGCAGCAAGACATAACACAAATGGGACTGATACAGCTGAAGTGCATAAATATTCTCCCTTAAGTATTTTCTTGATCCTCTCTTGGCAGGAGTGTGTGGACAGCTACCAGCACACCAACACCTGCAGCAGGAAGGCACGGATGTTGCCCAGGGTTAGACAGTGCAGCTAGCGTGGCTTTCACTGGCAGAACTAGTGATGGCTGTCATGAAGGTGGAGAACTTGTGGGTTTTGTAGAAAAAGCATATGTAGCATTCTAAAACTATGGTCCAGTGTTCGTCGTACTTGTGACACTGTCTGCTGTAAGGAAGTCAAGGCCACTAAATGGGATGAGTGGAGGCTGGACTTGCTTTGTAGGATAATGCCACAAGGCACAAAATCAATGAAATCAATGTTGTCAAGGTAAATCCTAGCTGTTAACATCAAAGATTTAACTGGCTTCTCTATCCTTAAGGTGTTGAAAGCTGGGTTGTTGCTCTGCTGCCCTCTGCAATACCTAGTGATTTACAGTAGGAGCTGCCTGTCTGTGTCCCTCTTGATTCTTTCTCAGAATCCCACAGCAGGAAAAAAGGAGATGGAAGCTGTTTTCAGGAAATTTTGGTTTTGTTGGGAGAATTTTATTGGGAGAAATGTTCCCTTAGCAACAACACATCAAAACGGACAGAAGTCTGTTGAAAGGATTCATGGAGTATCACTAAGCAGCACTACTGCATGCAGCATGTAGCCCAAACCAGAGGACGTGCTTTGTGTTCTCTTCTGCAGTAGGTCAAGTTGTCCTGTGCTGGCTGGTTGGCAACTATATAACCCTCAGCACACTGACATAGCTTCTGACTGCAGCATTTTTTGGTAATAGACCTCAGGCAAAATGCTGTTGTCACTCCTTTGCTCATTTTGCATCATCTTTCTTGACTCCAATTTGTGTTGCTCCTTGCTGCCGTTAGATAGTGCTGCAAAGCATGTCAGTCTCTTGTTCTGCCCTTACAAGACCAGACTTACTAGGAGATGTTACTGTTGTTACATCCTGTCATGACAGGGACAAGCGTTTGTCGTTAGGCAGCATGTGCACTCTCGCAGCTTCCACCATGTGTACATTCTGTGATCTTTTGGATGCTGCTTTCATGTCTGTCTGTCACATAGCTATAATAAATGCCTTCTGATGTGGATGAATATTATCTAGAGAGTTGCAACTTTGAGGCTGTCAGTCATGGGTTGCTGAGAGCTGACAAGCAAAGGCACTATGTGACTGGATTGCCAGAGCGCCTCTGGTGACCAAGTCCATTGAGAGGTCTATGCACCTCCCAGATTGCTTTTCAGGTACAAGACCATAATAACTGTTCCCTTGACTGACCTGGCACTTCAGCAATGAAAGGTGAAAAAATTGAGTCCAGCTTCATCTTACCAGTGAGAGTTACCGTGGTCTTCTGCACAGGTGGTACCTACTGAATGAACAGGCTTTATTTTACTGGAAGGACTCTCTGGAGCCAAAGTTGGCTGTTGACCCGCTGATAGTTCTGTGATTGGTAGGCAATAAAAAATAGCAAATGTATGGGAGAGCTGCCACCTTGCCTAATGCAAGATAAATTATTCCTTGGTGGGAATTCAATTGCCCATTTCCAGTTGACAGCTGGGTGGGCTGAAGTTCTTTTTCTTCTTCTTTGTGCCCAGTCTGGGTTTCTGGAGTGGCTCAGGGGCATACAGGTGTTGGCAAACTGCTTGTTGCAGTGATTCCTGCGTTGCCGTGTGGAACCTCGCTGGAATGTGGTTGGAGCAGTTTTGGTGTCCATATGTCCAGTGTCACAGACTGGTTTAGATGGGGCGCCTCCATCAAGGGCCATAGCTGCTTCTTTAGCAGAGTGTTGTCTGTTGCCACCTGCATTAATGCCCAGAGGGCATGAGGTTGAAATAGAAGTTAGTGTCTAGGACTGACTTCCCAATTCCTCCACCTCCACCCTATGATGTTAATGATGCTTGTGATTTCTGTGAAAGTGAAGCCTCTCTCTCGTCATGTGTTCATGCATTAGTATTTTGGTTGGCAAGAGAGGGCTGCTTGCTGAGTGGCTGGGACTTCTCACGTTAGTGTTTTTGTTAGCCTGGAATGTCTTCCATCTGCACTGGGTGATAGGAGTTTGTTTGGTGGCTTTTAGCCTTTTTCCTTTTCTTTTTTTTAAGTATTTTTTGCTTAATGTGTCTCTTTCATTTTTTTGCTTTCCAGGGCCCATCACTTAAGCAGTTTATGGACATTTTTTCTCTTCCTGAAATGACACTGCTCTCTTCGGTCATTGATTACTTCATAACTCATGGCATTGAGTTTGACCAGGTGCACCTTTACAAGGATATATCTGTAAGTAAAGTGTCAACAGTCCCAAAGCTCCTACCACATCAGAATTGTGAGCTTTTCATTAGTACCTATGAGCTCTGCAGTGCCCAGACCTAAGGGGCTGTTTGTTAGTGAGCAGCTTGGTAGAACAGCTTTGTTGCCCCTTTAGATCAAAGGACCACCAGGGAATATTCAGAGCTGTGTTTTCAGAACGTTGGGGTTCTGTCTACTCCAGCATTGGTGTTGCTGTACATTCTCTTGCAGGAGTGTGTAGGCTGGTTAGGCTGAACGTCCTTCTGTGGGGGATCTGTCACAAAGCCCATGTAAATGTTTTCTCCTTTGCAGACTTTTAGGTTCTGTGTTTTCCAGTTAATATCTGATTTTTCAAAGAGGCTTGGTCTGACCCTGTACCAAACAGTTTGCTTTATACAGCAATTGTTGTGCAACTTGCCCTTGCCTGCTGTGAGAATCCACCTGTTCCTCTTGTAGCTGCATCCTTTTGGGATGTTTTCAAGTGGCTTTCAACAGCCAGTTACACCAAGGTGCTAACTCTGTCCTCCAGCTTCACTCCTGGCATTTGAAAAGGGCTGTGTGGGATTATCAGCATTGCTGGAGATACTGTTTGACCTCTTAGTTAATGGTGTAGAAAAGATGTAAGTGCTTGAGATTGCTGCCCTGTGTGGCTTCTGTTAACAGATGATGCACCTCTCTTGATATCCAAGATGTATCACACACCTTCTACCATGGAGAGGGGTTTTTGATTTGTACCTTGTGGGAATCTTACGCTCATCCACTTTTAGCAGCCCATACACTCATCACTCAGTCTTCTTGTGAGGGAGATGGAGCTCCAGGTCTGTGCTGCAGCTTTTGTGATAAGGATCCTCCCTGTCAGCTTTGCTGCAGCCAAGGATTACAGCTTACATTCTGCCCTTCTGTTACTGCTTGATAGGAGCATGCCAGCCAGTTTCCACAAGACCTTAACATGTTTCCAGGGTGCTAGTTGTTGCAGTTGTTTTTGCTCTTGAGGTGAGGAAAATTGAAGAAAGGATACATCTGACCCCTGAGGCTTTTGTCAAGAGAGTCTTCTGGACCTTCTTTTGAGATCAAAATGGATGTGTTTCTTGTTGAAATCTTGAGAGCAGTTGGGTGGTTCACACAGCCCAATACGTACTCAATACTTATTGACAATACAGTGCAAATGATGTGCCCAAGTCCTCAAAGTCCTGACTTTGCTGATCCTGGCATTTTTCTTTGCATCCTTTGCTGGTGAATGAGGTCATTCCAGTGGAACGAGTGAGGTAGGCAGAGAAGAGAGCTAGGACAGAAAATCTGTGCCAATGCCTGAAATCTATATTGAAAAGCTGGGACGTAAGCACGGGGATCCTTCTGTGCCTACACAGGCAGGTGTCTGAGAGGGCGTGCGGAGTGCCGGCTGTTATGACAACACAGCTCACAGTGGGTTAAGACATGTCTAAACCTGACACTCTTCATGGTAATCCTGTTTGCAGAGCTGTGTGTTTGGGAGCAGGTTGGGTGCCACAGGCACTGTGCTGAGTCAAAATGGCAGACCCTGAGGCAATGGTAAAGGTTGAAGCTGACGTGTAAACCAAGTAGTGTGGCCATGCCAGTTGGGTCGCTTCATATTTGAGAGTTAGAATGTACAATTTACCCTGCTTTCCTTTGGAGGAATTTTTGAGCTGTTTGGTACTCCCCCAGGCTACCAATTTCCTTTCCCTTTTCCCTATTCCTTTCCCTTTCTTTTGCTTTTTAGGGGCAAGGATTTAGGGAAGGAGCACACTGGAGTCTCTTTCTGCTCTGCAAAGGTAGTTTTGACAGAAATCCAAAGCATTGCTTGCTTTTAGTGCCAGTGCTGGTCAAGAGAAAATTGTTTGCTTGCTAGCTCTCCTGCGTTTTTGCTCAGTTTCTTTCCAGCGAGGCAGTCCCTTAGTGAACTAGATGTGACCTCTGCCTTTTCACCATTCAAATCCATGGTGGAAAGATTCCTGAAACTGTTCTGAAGAGGTAACACCCTCTCCTTCATCATCCCCATCTAGGATGTAAATTCTGAGTCTCTCCAAGCTTTGAAGGAAAGGATTTTTAGGGTGACGAGCAGGTTTCACCAGCACAGCCATGAGGCCAGTGGCAGTGTCAGTGGCGAGTGTGGGAATCTGGTCTGAAAGGGCAGCTCTTAGGAGGTGTAACTGGGATTTAAGGGTGCTGGGGAAAGGCAGCGTTTGTTTACCTGTCTGAATGGTCAGGGATGAAGATGGTATCATTAAAATAAGTGTTTGCGTGCACAAACACTGCTAAATGTGGTTTTGCACTGAAAATCATTTTGTTTATCCAGCATATCCCATTGGATGGAGACTTGGGAGGAATCTCAGTTGGGTGTGTCCAAAAATACATTGCATTTTGGCCTCTGGCCTGGAAAACAGAGGTTATTTGGATGCCCTTGACAATATCTGTTTTAACTCGCATCCCTCCTGCAAAGTGGGCAGCTTTGTTTTGGCAAAAACCCCTCACCCTCCTAGTGGAAGATTCTGCTCTGCTGTGCCCACTGGCCCTCTGGGGCCAGGAGCTGTAGCCCCTTTTGGCTTGTGGGAAGTGTTTTGGAATGACAGATGTTCTCTGCTGTTCGCCTTGGCCATGCTTTCATCCTTTGGGTTATATTTGGCAGTTTCCACAAGCACAGGGAGGAAGAAAAGCCAGCTAGTGTCTGGGCCAGTACCGTTCTGGGGCAGTAAATGGTTTTGGAGTGCACTCTTGGTTTTGCCTTGGTAACAGTGCGTTAACATGTGCTGGTTTCCAGGAGCAGGAAGGAAGTTGTGCTTTCATAGATAGGTTTTGAGGTTTTTCCTCTTCTCCTGCATCAGCTGAGCTAGCCACTGTGTTCTTTTTATGTTGGTGAACCGCACTGTACAAGGTCCTTTGCTTAGCTTAACATAACTTTTGTTCATTCAGCAAGAAGAGGACATGTGTCATTACTGTTTTGGTCCTCAGTGGTGGCAATAGGTTTGCATGCTGGGAAACAGGAATGTCTTTGGTAAAACTGAACCATTTTTCTCTGCCGTTTTCTTTAGGATGCTATTAGAGATGTACATGTGAAAGGAGTGATGTACAAATGGATTGAAAAAGATATGGGTGAGTTAAACAGAGCTCTGGTGCCCATCCCATTTTGACATGTCTCATACTGTGTGGCGTTCTGTGTAAGATGTGTAGTTCCTACATGCAGTAACAGGAGTCAGGGGGACACAGAATTTAATGAAGTACACTTGACTGTGGCATGTTTAAAGGCAGCTGAGGGGCAGAGTGGCATTAAACAAGTGGTATTTAGGGTCAGGTGGAGGATCTACTTTAATGGAGGAAACAGCTACCTCCATTGCTTGTGTTTCTCTTTTCCCTCAGCTTGTAAGTGAGGGATGATGGTCCCTGGCATGATGTGAACATGCAAAGGTACCACCTGGGAGGGGTTTCTGGTCCTTCGGGAGAAAGCAAGCTCCTGGTAGCAACATGGCTTGGAGTGGCTGTGCCTGTCCCTTGTGATGGTTTGGTATCAACCCTCTTTTTTGCCAGCTGTTTCAGTTCCTCAGTCTTTCTTTCTCTTCCCTCTGGGTGGGATTGAAGATGAGGAAGGCCATTTTGTCACCATGGTGGTTCACTACCTGCGTGCCTGAGGTGGATCTAACTCAGGCCTTTTGCATCTCTAGTGGTATAGGAGCTAGGTTTGGTTGTGTTTTTAAAGACATGTGGTCATGACTTTTGTCAGTTTTGATTGACGATGTCTGCTTTATTCTGATACAGAACAGTATATTCTGCACGGGGATGAAATCTATGCCGTGCTAAACCGACTGGTGAACCACAAGAAGAAACTCTTCCTCATTACAAACAGTCCCTTTAGCTTTGTGTGAGTACCATTACTGCACATCAGTGGGTCACCACAGCAAGAACTCTGTTGTGTGGTCTCTCCTGTGAGCATCTGGAAGTTGTCTACTGGAGGTTTTTGTGGCAGTACTCATGAGGGTGCTCTCTGGGAGCTGGTTGTGGTGAATGCTGCACCCCACAGCGGTCTGCACAGCATTGACTCACATTTTTGAAGAAGATACGAGGCTGTGGCTGGTCACACTGTTACAGAGCTGACAGCTGCCATTTCCTCTAGCAGCTTTTGCTGCATCACAGATTTCTCTGGACTTCCCATGGTAGAGAAGGAAGGGTGGGACAGCGTGCTATATCAACACTGTGCAATGAGAGACCCTTGGGGGTTTCACAGATCATAGAATCATAGAATGGTTTGGGTTGGAAAGGACCTTAAAATCATCCAGTTCCGCCCCCCTGCCATCTGTGCTTTCTTTGTTACTGAAATTAGAGTGTAATAATGCAGTGCTGGGTGGGAAAGAGTACTGGATCTGTTAACTTTGCCGTTCCTCCGCCCTTAGGGACAAAGGAATGAAACACATGGTTGGCAAGAACTGGCGGGACTTATTTGACATGGTCATCGTGCAAGCTGACAAGCCCAACTTCTTCACTGATCGGCGGAAGTACGTGTCCTGGGGAAACACTGCCCTGCTGCACGGGGGGCTGAGGTTTTGGGCCCCTTGCCTTTTACTTTCCATTTCCACTGTCATCTCTGATACTCTTTGAGGAGATGAAAACTGACCAGTCTGGGAATAGGTAGCTGGAGTGAGTAGTGCCAGGCAGAAAGCACGTTTCTAAAATGTCTGTCATCGGTTTTGTCATCGTGTGTGCTTAACTTCCTTAGATTTTGAGGGATAATAATGTACTTGAATCTTTAGAAAGAAAAGAAGAGTAGAATGCTGTGTATGGGAGCTGGCCATTTCGTGCCTCTAGGTCTTGAGAATGTGCCAAAAGCTTTCCTTTTCCTGTTCCCCACAGCAAATATCTGTGTGGGTTTGTTTGCTTCTTTCTGTCTATTATTTTAGTTACTGCATACATGCTGTTTGGTAATTGGCAGCTCTAGAAGCCTTTGTACATGGTGTCTGGGTTTTGTGATCAATTAGGCGCTGCCATGGAACTACTGATTGATTGATAGGCAAGCTGCTGTCCTCGCTTTGCTCTTCGGGTTATTTGCTTTGGGAGCTTATGTCTGCTTTGCTGCCTCAACTTATGACTGACCAGGATTTACTGCCCTTGAGGAAGATGTCTAGTCTTTCCTATTTATGTATTTTCTTCCCCCATTTCCCAGGCCACTAGCATAAATGGAAGTAAACTACGAACTGGCCATATAAACTGTGCTGACCTTGTAAGGGTTTTCCTCATGGGATGTAGGTGAAGTGTCTTACAAATGTAGCCTGGAGCAATGATGATCTGCTCTTCTAGGAGATAAAACCTTACAGCTGCATGGTGCCTAAGGTCCACTCACGTAGTGGGCCAGTGGAATGACATGGCACAAGCACCCAAGGTGAGGGGAGCTTCCTGATGGTGAGCTGTAGTGAACTGTGGCGTGTTTTCTCTGAGCAAAAGGGCAGGTGTGCACTAGAGACCACTCATGGTTTTGGAGCCCCTTGCCCAGGTACTCTGTAGCATTCATGGTGGGAGGCTGGATTCCTTCTGCCCTACGGCAGCTCAGGATCATACAATACCTCTGGATGAGATTATCTCTGCTTGCAGCAGGAGCAGCTTCATACCAAGGCTTTTGATCCCAGAGCTCCTAGTTTGGAATTCTTACCCCAAAAGGGACCAATGTGCCTATTGAGCATGAATGTTTATAGGGGTCAAGTAACTTAAGCCTTGGTTTGCTGCTTCTGGCCAAGTGCAAAGTCATCAGACAAGCCCTCAGGAGCAGCAGTCTTTGTGTGTAGCCAGACTGTAACAGGACACAGAGTGTTTTGTGGCAAAGCCTTCTTGGCCTCAGCATTTCAGAGACAGTAATTATGATTCTTTTTTCCCCTCTTCTCTGTATCTAGAAAGCAAGAAGGGTTGTTAGGGATATTGCCATGGAATGGTTACAGTCAATGGAAGCATTTTGAAAAGGTATTTCCCTTTACACTTTCTCTTCCCCTGAGAAAGTAGTGTAGAAGGCCCAGAAGGGCACTTCTCATTCTTTTATTAGGAGTTGTTACATAGGTAGAAAAGTTTTCCAATTCAAATGTTGTGGTTGCTGGGTGACAGTTGCCAAAAATCAAAAGGAGTTGATGTTTTCCCCCTTTTTTCCCAGACCTTTTAGGAAACTGGATGATAATGGCTCATTGCAGTGGGACAAAATAAACCAGCTGGAGAAAGGAAAGATCTACAAAGAGGTAAAGTGAATGGGTGCATAAGGGGTAGGAAGCAAGTCTGAAACAGTGGGGACTTATAAGACATCTGCAGTTTTGAAAGTGACTGGAAAAGCCTGGAATGCCCCCTGCCCCAGTGTACAATGAAACTTCACCCTAGGAGCTGTGTTCTGACATTGTCCAGTGTGGCCAATAATGCAGCTTTCCCGTGGCTCTTTTGGTGTCCTGGTACTAAAACTCTTGCTGTGGAGTTGCTCTCAAGAGTGTGGTAGTTCAGGGTAAGAAGGCAGAGCTTTCTGCAATCTGATGTGTATGAAAAGACCTCTCACACCTCCACAAGGCTGGAAAAAGAGGACTTGTGGAGGAGGGAACAGAGAAACAAGGGTGATCAAATAGGGTACAAAGCCTGGCTCCTGTCTCTCTCCTGAAGGACAAGCGTGTCCAAAGGATGCGCTATTACTCTGGTGAACTTGCTGCCTTGGGGTGTTCTCACTGCAGTTGGTTTGTCCCTTGAGAACAAGTTGCCTCTGGCTTTAGGACTGTTTGTTCTTGGTTATGTCCAATCCCACAGGAAGAAACTGTTAGCGAGATTGCGGTCAAGTGGCTGGGACCTGACCTGTGGTAGAAAAGTAGGTCATGTCCTTGAGCAGTGCTGTTGGGAAGCCTCTGGCCTGTCCAATGGGTCTGTCAAAGTGCTCTGCTGGTGTCCCACCCTCTGCCAAGAGCTAGGAACTGGGAACGTGCAAGTAGAGCTCATGCAAAGTCTCTCTCCCATGAGCAAACTTTCCCAGTGGGTTGGCAACTCCCTCAGAAGAAAAGGTGCACCTCAGCAATGGGGTTGATTGCTGAATCAAATCCTTCTCTTGACCACCTACATCTTGTGGCCACAGGTTGCTCACTTAAGTGAATGGTGCATTGAGGAAGGTAAAAGATGAGGCAGGAAAGAGGGATGGGTGCGATTTTGGCCTCCTCTCTAGTTCTCTACCACAGTGGTCATCTGACTGCATCAAGTTTGTTGCCTGGCTGTGGTTCTTGGTATGTGACAGGGCTGTATCATGGCTGTAGTTCAGTGTCCCCAGCATGTTGGTTTCTTGGAGTGCCACAATATGCTTCTTTCTGGCAAGCATTAGTGGCCTTGGACCTTGCTGTACTGGTGATGTTGCCAGAGGCCTCTTAGCTGACTTTTCCTGCCCCTGCAGCGCAGCTGTATGGTGGTTGTACTGTGGGTATCTCCTATGAATGGGATCTCAGGGATCATTGTTTTGCCCTGGGGACAGGGAAGTTCAAGTGATGGCCCTTTAGTCCCTCCTTTCTGATAGATGTGGTGTTTTCTGTTTGTGATGTGTGTGCTCCCATCCCTCCCCTAGTCTGCAATCTCAGGAGGGGAGGAAGCCAGTTCCTGGAGGTCACGTAGCAGGTCTGTAGCTCAGTGGAGCTCCACACAAGTTTCCTGGTTGTCAGGTCCACTGCTGTTTGAGGTGAGAGCACAGCAAAATGACCATCCTCCTCCCGAGGCTGTGGACCACTTCCCTGCTCTGCCAGTGGCTCTCTGAGCAACCCTGGAGTGAGCAGCAGCAGTGGTGTGCAAGACATGCAGAGGTCTGCCTGGCCCTGTGTTTCTGTGCTCTTAAGGGAAGTCTGCACATCTCCAGTGGTGCTTCAGCAGCAGGAGGCCCAGCACCCTGGTTCTGGGCACCCTTTGCAGTGAATACAGCATGTGGTCAGTGGCCAGATACAGGGCTGTAGGCTGTTGTAGGAGCTGGCTTGTGTTTGGGGTCTTTTGTCCTGGCTGGTGCTGTTGGGTATCCATGCTGGCTCTTTCCTGGCACTGGAGACTGGCTGGAGGGGTGCTGCTGAGGGGCTTGCACGTTTGCATTGATTGCTTGTGCTGGCATAGTCCAGTCTGGCCTTGATGAAGCCTTTTCCTTCCCTAGTGGGTTTTGTTTCTGTTGTGACTCATGTGGAAAACTTCTGTGGAGATGGAAGGAGGGTCCCTGAAGTCTCCTCTGTGTATGGATGGATTTTTGGAAAGCCTTGAAAGCTGCTCTGTGCTGTGTTTTGAGGTTTGGTTTGTTTTACTTAGCTGTGAAGCTGCCCAAGCTGCCTGGCTTTCTGGCTTGGTGAAGCAATTCCTATGAGCATGTGGGTGGTGTTGGTCTCTTGGGTTGGGATGGTGGTCAGTGATGTGAGAACAGCCTCAGCTGCTCCTGACTCCGAAATCCTTGCATGATGGTGCTCACCTCACCTCTGATGCACCCTGTGAGATGAAATCAGTATCACCTGAGCTCAACAACTTCTGAACCCAGAACACCTGGGGTTCTGTCTGTCCGTTGCTTAGGTGTTTCTAATTTAGGTAGGTGTCTTTCACTTTTGGCCTCTAAACTGCCTCCTATTTTTGCCTTTTTTGTCCTCTTGGCTTGCTATGTCCTAGAGGACAAAACTTCCCATGAATTGCCTGTTGGGTTTGGAAGGGTTTCTGCCTTTTTCTGAGGCCTAAGAAAAGCTGAGGGATGTACAGGGGTCTTTCACATGGGAAGAAAGTGAAATAAAGTGGGAAAGGACAGAAACCTCTGGGTTTAGACAGCGGGGGAGTGAGCAGGTGGACATCTCATTAAAGTGTTCACATCTGCATGTGATAAGGTGGCCCATCCAGCTGTGTTGACAGCACTGTTGGCGTGGCTGTCCGGTACCATGCAGTGAGGATGGAGGCATCTGGCCTGTAACCACATTTCTCTCTGCTCCTTTTACTTCCAGGGTAACCTCTTTGACTTTCTGAGGCTGACAGGCTGGCGTGGCTCCAAAGTGCTCTACTTTGGTGACCATCTGTACAGTGACCTGGCGGTAAGTGAAAGGCCTCTGTGCCCTTCAGCAGAGGGGAGCAAGCCTGTGTGACTGTTGAGGTGGCAGCTGGGTTGGAGTATAAGGCAGGGCCCTGATTTGAATGCTTGGGTCCCTGCTGTGCTGTGCTGGGTGCTCTGCAGGCTGTGGCTTTTGGGCCACACATAGGACACATGAACATCCCCATTCTGCTGTCAGGCAGAAGCAAGCAGTGGAGAAAGGAATCCTGAAGTATTTTCTGTGGGTAAAGACCATCTGCTGAACCATGAATTGGAGAGCAGTTTGTGCAGATCCCACATCTGTAGGTGGTTCACGCAGCTGAGCCTGGTGGCCAGGAGGTAGATGGCTGTTACTGGCATGACCTGGCATGGGCCACGGTTGTTTGTCCTGTGAGAATCTGTGATGGGAACAGACCACTCTTTTAGGAAGCAGGGTTGTGTTTGGCTTTCAGACTTTATGGTGAATTCTTGGTTGTTTTTTCACTGTGACCCCTAGGACCTCATGCTGCGTCACGGCTGGAGGACTGGAGCCATCGTTCCTGAACTGGAGACGGAGATTCGGATCATAAACACAGAGCAGTACATGCACTCCCTGACCTGGCAGCAGGCTCTGACAGGGCTGCTAGAGAGAATGCAGGTAAACAGCTCCTGGCTGAGCAGCATGGGCAATATCCTGCTTTCTGAGTCTGTGTTTAGGGCTTAGCTCCTCTTCCTGGTGCAGTGGACTCATGGGTTTGTGAGTTGCAGGTGTCAGCCCTGAGGTATGGTCTGCAGGGCTGACAATGTGGGGCTTTCTGCTGCTGTCTTTGCAGATGTATCAGGATGCAGAGTCAAAGCAAGTGTTGCTGGAGTGGATGAAGGAACGTCAGGAGATCAGGTGAGCAGGAGGTCTCCTGGGGGCTCCCAGGCCTGCACTGGGTCTGGTTTGCAACCTATTTATTTTGGGGACAGTGGTGCTGGCCTGTATCCTCCCTGGTGTCACTGTCTGGGTGGGGAGCAGCAGTGCAGTCCTGCAGCTGGTGAGGTTGGCCTGGTTTGAAGGCAGGGTGGGAAAGGGGAGGTGGTGTTACCCTGTGCTGGGAGAGGATGCTGGGCTGTGTCTGCTGCTGCACCTCCTGGCAAAGCAGGGGGATTCCTGCCCGTCACAGGTAGGGTAACAAGAAAGAATAAAAGTGCATTGAACATTCATCACACACGCACTGCATAGGGACTGGTCTGCATTGCAGCTGGGGTGGAAGGGTGCTTAGGGTGATCCCAGAATGGGAGCAGGGTGGCCCAGGGGCAAGGAACGGGAGGGGGAAGAATCTGTGACCATGGCCTTACCTGCAGCACACTGTCTCTTTCCTCTCAGGTCACTGACAAAGAACCTGTTCAACCCCCAGTTTGGAAGCATCTTCCGCACGTTCCACAACCCCACATACTTCTCTCGGCGGCTGGTGCGGTTCTCCGACATCTACATGGCCTCCATCAGCTGCCTGCTGAACTACGACGTGAATTTCACCTTCTACCCCCGGCGCACCCCCCTGCAGCACGAGGCTCCCCTCTGGATGGATCAGCTCTGCACGGGCTGCATGAAAACCCCCTTCCTGGAGGAGATGGTGCACATCCGGTGAGGGGACAGGTACTCGGGCAGCAGCACAGCGCGTGGCTGTACCTGGAGCTGGGGGCTCGGCCAGCAGCACCTCTGTCTACCACTAAAGGGTGTTTGACACTTACATACACGTGTAGGTGGTGTGTTTATTTTTCTCCCCTTCACTGGTTCCATCCCTTTCCCTGAGGTGCTTTGCAGGCTGGGCAGAGGGTGGGTGCTTGTTCTGGGCTGTGTGAGTCAGTGAGGTGGACAGCCAGTGCTGGTGGGCACAACCTGCTGCTCCCTGCCCTGTGCGCAGAGACGTGGCTCAGAAATAGCATCCTGAGTCTCTGGTGCTTGGCAAGCTCAACACAGGCTCCCACAGGAGGTGTGACAAGGTGTGTCAGGGCTGTACCTGTCCCAGTAGCCTTGGGTACTACTCATGAGTCTGGAGGGGAACAGTGAGGGGACAGGGGTGCCAACTGGGCAACCAGTGAAGCACATCATGGACAACAAAAGCGTCAGCAGTGTTAACCAGTGCAGGTACCAGCAGCCCTCAGCCCCATCCCGCTCCTCACCAGACTGGTCTGTCCTGGCGCACACAGGTAGGAGGTAACTGCTGGTTAAATGTACAGGATGTGCAAGTCCTGTGTGAGAGTGGGGTGGGAGCCTGAAAACCAAGTGTTTGCTGCGAGCTGAGTGCCACACAGTGTCAGTACTGTGGGGCGTTGGTGCCATGTGACATCAATGTTTTGGCAGCTCAGGCAGCGTGGTCTGTTGGCAGTTGCAGAGGGATGTGTTCAGCTGTTCAGGGAAGGTGCAGGGTGGGCAGCAGAGGTGTTGGCCTCCACCTGTGGAGATGTAGCCTAAAGTGTATGAAAGGGCTGTTGAGGACGTCGGAGGAGGAGAGTGACATGCTGCTGGGTGGGAGGGGGCTGCAAGGGGAGCAAGGCCGGCCATGCAAAGCCCTGTGTGCCTCTTCAGGAGGAGATAATAGCGATGCCAGAGCATATGAGACACGGAATAAGGATGGGGGCCTGGAGGCCCAGGCAGGTCAGAGCTACTTTAGGATGCGAGGAGCAGAAAACAAGTTCTTCACCTGGTTCGGGGCTATGCTGGCTTTGCCCAGGCTTCAGCCTGCCCTGGGGGACAGGCAGGGCCCTGGGGAGGAGCAGAGGGGCAGAAAGAAGCCTTGGGGTTGCTGGGAGTTTGTGCCACGCTGGTGGTGGCCAGTAATCATGCCATTGGAAAGCTGGATGTGGGGGAAGACTATGGCAATGGGATGGGGGGTAAGAGGCCCTGGAGGGAGAGGTGAGGTGGGGCAGTGTGTGGTCCCCAAAGCAAGCAGGAGAGATGTAATGCAGCTGCTGGCACTGGAGACATGCAGGGGCTGTCAGGATGTTTGAAGGCAGAGCTCTTGGTGCAGAACATGTTGCTTGTCCTGGTCCATCACCTCCTCCTCACTGCTGCACCAGTTGCCAGTGGCAACAAGGGTGACAGCCCAGCTGGTGGTGACAGGTAGGAGAGGGAACAGAGAGCAGATACACTTGTGCTGGGGCTGGCAGTGAGGGGGAAAGACACTGGTGAGTGACTGCAGGGTACGTAGGATGGGTGTTTGGGATGCACGGTGGGTCTGGGTGGTGGGTTAAGGGCTGCTGGGTTGGGGGCGGAGGTAGCAGGGCAGCAGGCAGGGGTGTTTGTGAGCACTGGGCTGTGGCAATGGCTGTGTGTTGTCAATGTGGGACAGCTGAGGGAGAGGACCCTCTGCCAGGAGACTCCTCAGGGAAAGGCACTGAAGTACAGTGTGAAAGTGTCAACAACCCTCAATGAGACACACACACACACATACACACACACACACACCCTTCTCCCCTGCGGTGCACCAGGCTGGCCCCTCAGTCTGACACCTGTATCTCACTGCCTTGTTTTTATGTTACGTGCCAGCTTTGACTCTAGACTCCGAGACCTGAACGATTGCTGTTAACATAGCTGCACTAATCCAGTGGGTCTGCTGTGTGCATGTGGCATTTGATGTCCCTGTGCTGTGCGGTGTGAAGGCTCAATAAAGGTCTGCCGCACGTGTAACTAACTGACTAACCGATGTACTTCCTGCAGAGGCGCTGCTCCGGTCGGTTCCTGCGCCTGGGCTGCAGCTGGGTGGGTGTGTGACACGCCTGCCCGAGTCAAGGCGCCGTTTGTGCCCCTTAGGGCAGGCAGGAGCCTCCTGCATGGCGCAGAGGGGGCGCCTGGGGGTAACTGAGGTGACTCCGGATTACAGGGGCGGCGCGCCCAGGGGCTGTCAGCACGCCGTTGGGCTGAGCCGCCGGGTGGGCAGCACCTCGTAGGGGGCGGGGGTCGGCGGAGAGCAGGCGGGGCGCGGGCGGCGGCGCTGAGCGATTTATTGTGGCGAAGGGCGCGTCAGTGCGGGCGGCCTCCGGCGGCAGCGTCGGACAGGAGCGAGTCCTGCGGAGAGAGCGGCGTGAGGCGGGGGCGAGGGGCTCGGGGGTGCGGGCGCGGTGGGGCCGGGTCGCCGCTCACCTGCAGCGGTTCGTAGTCCCCGTACAGCGGGTTCGGGATGGCCACGAGCGGCCGCTGTGGGCGGGGCCTGGCGCCGCGAGGCCCCGCCTCCTCCTCCTCCTCCTCGTCCGCGCGCAGGTCCGCCTGCAAGGGGCGGGGCGCGATGGGCGGGGGCGGGGCCTCGCGCCCCTCCCGGTCCCCGGCCGCCCTCTGCCGGCGGGCGGAGTTCCTGCACCCCTCCCCTCCGCCCCGGCCCGCTCCTACCTGCCGGTACCCGAACTGCTGCTCCCGCCGCCGCCTCACGCAGTAATGGGCGATGCCAGCCCCGGCCGCGAGCGCCAGCGCAAAGCTCAGCGCCGACAACGTCCCCGTGGCCACGGAGCCCGATGCCTGCGCCGCGCCATTCACCTGCGGCCAAAGCCGTCGCCGGTCACCATCACCCCGCGCTGATCCCGCCCCCGCCTCCCTGCCGCGCTCCCGGCGTGACCGCGGGCCAGGGCCGTCCTGGGGCAGGCCTGCATCACCTCGTCCCCTCGGGCACGGACCTGGCCAAGCTGGACGGCGGGCGGGGGGATCCTCAGCGGCTCTGCGATTGCGTGAATGATGCCGTTGAAGGCTATGATGTCCCACTCCACAACCATCGTGTCATTGATTGCCTTGGCGTCCTGCAGGACAGGACAGGACAGGCGTGTCACCCAACCTCCCCATTGCCTCAAAAGAGATGTGGTGAAAACTTGTGGGGCTTTCTTTGACCCCTTTGGAGGTTAAACCTACTGAGTGCTCTGTACCGTTGCCCACTGAGAGATCTGATACTTGGAGGTCGTATCCTGACTGCGATGGGATGATGGTGCCGGTTGTGAGGTTGAAGCTGAAGAGGACGACATTGCTGGAGGACACATGGAGCTTCAGCTCCTCTCCTGTCAGGGTCTGAAAAAGCAACAGGGAGGAGCAGGGCTGAGCTGGCTCCCCTGTGTGCAGCCCCCACCGGGCCTGAGCCCCAACACTCTCCATGGCCACAAGACAACTCAATTCATGGGCAACACGGCGCAAAACTACTCTGCAGCGAAGGGGGAATTGCCATTCTTTGAAAGAGCCAAAGCTCAGCTGGCAAAGGCTCTGACCTAACAGCTCTGCTGAGCGAGGGGTTGGACTGGAGACCTCCACTGCTTCCCTTTAAGGGGGTTAAATTCCCCCTTCCCCAGAGTTCACATCCCATTTTGCCAGCCTTGGAGGACTCCTGCTCCTCATGCCCCCTTGAGCAGCTGCTCGTCCCTGCTTGCTTACTTCATTGTCTGCAAAGCCAGAGTTCAGGGGGACAAAGAGAGTTTTGGGAGTGGAGTCATCAGACAAATAGATGAAAAACTCCAGTCCTTCTTCTGTGTCATTGGCAAAATCGAGCAACATCTGGAAAAGACAACATCTTCCCATCAGCGCGCTGCTGTCACCCTCCCCAGCCCAGGGAGCATCCCCCAGCCCTGAAAAGCAAACACCTCTCTGGTTGTACTCTCCCCCCCCCACAGAGACTACACCACCGCTTCTCCCTCCCTCTGCCTTGCTCCCGGCTGCTGGCATTCTGGGACACGAGGGGAGCCTCACTCACAGAATAGAAGGTGGAGAAGCGAGCGTTGTCCGCGAGCACGTCAGGGAGTTTCCCGCTGCACCAGTACCCGTCGCCCACAAACCCATCCCGGCAGGTGCAAGTCAGATCTGCGACGGAACACCAGGATGCGACTCCACTCACCAATGCCACGGGCCTTTCCTTTGACTTCTGGATACCCCTCAGCATGTTCCCTCCCACCACAGGCATGGGGAGAGGGAGATGTGCCCCCCTGCCCGAGGGCAGATCTGTGCCTGCTGACCCGACAGTCCTCTTGTGCCCCACACGACCATCCCCAGGAAGCGTGCTTGTGCCACTCACCCTTCTCCCGGTAGCAGAATGCATCCCAGGTCTCACTCAGATTGCTTCGGGAGCCATAGTCCACGATGCCCACTCGGTTAGCCCCACAGCTGGGGTTGGGGTAGGCCGTGGGGTACCCGGCTGTGCCGTTGTCCAGCCAGCCCACCAAGCACAGATGGAATCCCATCTAGCAGAGGAAAATGAGTCATCAGATTAAAAATAGCATCTCCAGCCCAGGTTTTCTGCCCCGATGCACACTCCATTGTGCAGAGTGCCCCCAACACCTGAAGGGTTGGGCACTGCCAGAGCTCTCATCCCAGTGTGACTGGCAAGAGCCACCAGCCCTCCTGGCTTCATGGATGTAGACAGAGCAAACAGGGCCTGCCTGGGAGGATGCAGGGTCACCCACCCACCCACCCACCCGCACATCAACGGGGCAATGGAGCCAGCCCCTCTCCTGACCTGCTGGGCTGCCGAGAGCTGCCGGAAGGTGGCCAGGGAAGCACCTTCTGCAGCACAGGCCTCCCGAGCCTGCTCGTACGTGAAGTCGTACTTTTTGCGGGGTGACTGCAGATGAAATACACCCATGGTCTTATCTGCAAAATACCAAGGGAGCATCGGTACAGCACAGAGTGAGCAGCTCCCTGGGGCAGTCCCCTGAGTCCCCTGTGTGAGCACGGGCAGCGCTGCCAATGGAGGGTGCTTCGTGCTGCACCGGAGGGTGGGATGCA